ATCACAGACTTGTACCCCTGAAATAAATAATACATTATATGTTAATAATTTAAAAATTAATTTAAAAAAAAGTAATCAGAATCACACATCGACCCAGCACCACTCAGATTCTCTAAGTGCACCTGCACAACCCTCTCTTTGAGTGTGTACTTTTGCATTGCAATAAAGCTTCTCTGCTGTATTTTTCTCTGATTAGTCCTTGAATTCTTTGTCTTGGGGAAGTCAAGAACCTGGCACCAGCTGGTGGTTGAAGGCTCGGGACCTGAGAATGTCCACCTGCTACCCAAGAGGTCCTGCCCAAGAGGGTGCCTGCTAGGGTTAGGGGACCCTCAGGAAGGCCTGTCTTGTTCATATCCCTAGGAGGACAAAGGGTGGGTCTTTGGGTCCTCCAAAGAACCCCTGCAATAGAGGCCAAGAGAGAAAGACCTACATAAAATACATGCCCAACCTGGAGAGGTCTCCCTTTCACCTTAACCTTTATTCCCTCTGTTCTGATCCTGGAGATATAGGCGGTAAGAGAATGGACAGAGTCCTCCTTGTGAAAAGAAATACATTTGGATGAGGGAGAAGTGCCCTATCTCCTCTCAGCAGATAGCAGCACACCCTACGCTTGGCCCCAGATGGCAAGAGAAGTCTTACCTATAATTATGGAAAATGTGACTTATATATACTAGACTGATCATTATCAAATGGAAACAGTGTTCATAATTTTAGTGATAAAGACTTACAACCTAAGAATGATCAGAAAAGCTATGAGGTGTGCCTGATATTTTTCTAAGGATAGGGAATAGATACTTCCATTTAGGAAGTCTAAAGAGGCAGGTAAAAAAAAAAATGTATGATTACATACCAGGAGTCCTGCTTTCAACATACTGGTCACATTAATAAAGATTTGGGCTATAGCTGGGAGGCCAGCACTCCACCATCCTGGAGTTTGTGACCTCACAGTGGCTAAGAGATCCCTGTGTGCATAGCCCCTTCCCTTGGGGAGATGAAGCTGAGGCTTGCTGGACAGATTGTTCCAAAGAGGTGGTGCCCAGGGTCCAAGCTGGAAGTCCAGAACCAATCTTTTGAGGCCTCCAAGAGCTCCAGGCCCTGTCCCTGCATCAAGAATGGTCACCATGCTGGAAACCATCCTGTATCTGTTCATCATCCTCATCTGCTTCTTGATGCTCATCTGTTACTTCTTCTTTCGGAAGGATTAGGCTATAGCTCCTGCAAGGTGGGACTGAGGCTTGATGGAAGCCATGGCCAGTCTAGCCTCTCAGGACATCTCAAGCACGACGGGCTCTTTCTAAGCTGCCGATGGCCTGGGTCTTGGCCTGTTTTGGGGTCTTCAACAGCCAGGGACCTTCACTGGACCCTTCCCACCAGGGTCAGCTTCCACCTAGGTCTCCGTCCCTCCTTCTCCCTAGGTCCCCTAGCTGGGTCCTCCAACCCTCACATTCTCTCTTGTAATAGTTTTGCTTCTGGTTCATTTTTGTACTGGGCTGTGGACCACTGGTTCTGGAGAGGGACTCAGTGTGGGTTCAGAGAAGGTATAAATGGTTCAGGTCTCTGCCATGGGGACAGGCATGAGAAGAAGTGGCCCACCCCCTCCAGAAACTAGCAAAGTTGGGCCATGATGAACTAGAGTCCTAGCTGAAGACTGATGTTTTAGCAGGAACACTGGACTTTCCTTCTATCCATCGTGGATGATCCTTGAAAAAAACTGTCTTGACTACTAAATCTGGATGGTCGCAGCTAATTACCTTGGGCCTCCCTGAACAACAACCCTGTACCTTCCTTGTTAACTAAATCACTGAGATATATGTGGCTTATTACTTAAACTTTCCTGGCTTACATTTTTTGCTTGAATACTTGGGCATTCCGGGATAATATTTGGCTTTGCCCCGATTATCTTTCGCCATGGTAACTAACAGCATCAATTCTTCACTCTTAAGACCTTGGATCTTCCTGGTCAAGGGCATTGGACATCCCTTCCCCCACACCCCTACCCCCGGCTATTTCTCTGAAGACTTCCAGGATGAAAGCAGAAGAATGCTTCTATGATTCCACCATTATGTATAATATTGGTTGATGGTCTACGTTATATATTCTATTTTTAGAGTTGTAAGAATTTTTTTTTAAAGATTTTATTTATTTGACAGACAGAGATCACAAGTAGGCAGAGAGGCAGGGAGATTGAGAGGAGGAAGCAGGCTCCCTGCTAAGCAGAGAGCCCCATGCGGGGCTCGATCCCAGGACCCTGGGATCGTGACCTGAGCCGAAGGCAGAGGCTTTAACCCACAGAGCCACCCAGGCACCCCTGGAGTTGTAAGAATTTTTAAAAGTTATGAATGGGTATTGATTATTATCAAGTGATGATGATGATTATGACATTGATATTAAAATTTATTAAACAGCCTTACTATAACCCAACACCTATTTAAAAAAAAAAAACATTTATAGTACTGAGTTTCAATGTATTATATTACATACCTTTAAATTTTTTAATTGTGGCAAAATACACATAACATGAAAGTCATCATCTTAACCATTTTTTGAATATTCAGCTCAGTAGGATTCAGTACATTCACACCGTTGTGGAAACAATCTCCAGAATTTTTATCTTTCAAAACTGAAACTGGATCCTTGAAACAACAATTCCCAATTCCTAGCTTCTCCAGCCCCTGACAGCCACCATTCTCCCTTCTGTCTCTGAATTTGACTACTCCAGGTGCCTCGTACTAGTGGAATCATACAATTTGTGTCCTTTTGCGTCTGGCTTATTTCACTTAGCAGCAAGTCCTCAAGTCCCTCCATGCTGTGGCATATGTCAGAATTTCCTTCCTTCTTAAGGCCAAATAATATTCCATTGGTGTGCTTGTGTGTGTGTGTATCACGTTTTTTTATCCACTCATCTGTTGTTAGATACTTGAGTTACTCCAACCTTTGGCTATCATGAACAGTGCTGCTATGAACACAGGTAGACAAATATCTCTTTAAGATTACATTCCTAACTGTTTCAAGAATATACCCTTAAGTGGAATTGCTGGATCATATGGTAATACTATTTTTAATTTTTTGAGCAATTGCTATACTATATTATTTTCCATAGCAGCTGCACTAATTTGCATATTTTATCTATTTTAAAGTTTAAAAACTGAGGTTCAGAAAGATGAAGTCACTTGTTAATACAGCTAGAATGTGGTAAAGAAAAGTTTTAAGTATGTCTGTTGTATTAATTTCCTAAGACTGCCATAACAAAGCACCACAAACTGAGTGGATGACAATGGCAGAAATTTATTCTGTCACTATTCTGGAAACCCGGAAGTCTGAAATCTATGGTCAGAAGACATTCACAAGACAGGAGCGTGGTTACTGCCCTTTAAGGGCACTGGGGGCCACAGCTCTTTCCACCTGAAGTTGCCAATATATTTTTAAAGATGTTTACATCTACATTCATGAGATGGACTATAACTTTTTTCCTTCCTTTCTTGCTTAATTTGGGAGTCATGGTTAATCTCTGAACTGAGAACAACTCCCTCTTCTATTATCTGGGAGACTTCGTAAGGCTGAAAAGCTGGGTACGATGTTTTCTTTGTGGAAATATTGTTAACTACTGATTCAACACTTTAAAATGTTCTAAGATGATTCAGGTTTTCTGTTTTTCCTTAAGGCAATTTTGCTATATATTTTTCAGGAATGTGTTCCTTTTATGTAAGTTTTCAATTTATTTTTCTCTAATTTCTTACTCTCTGCTCTGACTGTCCTCTGACCGCTGTCTCATTCCTGAAAGTGTTTGTCTCTGCTGTTCTAAATGTGACCTCAAGGTCCTGGGATCCAGTCCCCCCTCGAGCTCCTTGTTCAGTGGAGAGCCTGCTTCTCCCTCTGCCTGCCTCTCCCTCTGCTTGTGAGTGCGTGCTCTCTCTCTGAAAAATAAATATCTTAAACAAAAAAGAAAGAAAGGAAGAAAGAAAGAAAGAAAAAGAAAAGAAAGAAAAACACTGTTATTCCCTCAGGCAGGCCCTTGCTGTCCACCCTGGCTAAATATGTCCCCACTATTATACCACCCTGTCCCTTTCCTTTGTAGCACTTGTCATGATTTTTTAAAACTCTTTTTTTAAGAGCTTTTAAGGCAGATGTTTAACCAACTAAGCCACCCAAACGCCCTGATTAGTTATGATTTTTAATTATTGCATTCGCTGTCTCATTCCTACGAGAATATAACAACAAAAAAATCAGGAACCCTGTCTGTCTTCAATATACTTCCAACGTTTAACCCTGTCCCTGATACGAAGTTGCTGCTCTGTAGATTTTTCTGGGGTGTAGATGGAAGTCTAGATGAACATATAGATGTATGAATGGTTAGATGTGTGGGTGAGTGGGTGGATGGATAGATGAAAAAGCTGGTGCTCCCTAAATAGTTTCCGGATAAATGGATGGAGTGATGGGAAGATAAAAGGATGCTTGGGTACTTGGCCGCTCAGGTTTTCACCTCCTATCCACGAGGGGGCGCGAAGAGACCGCGCGCGCGGGTTCAGTTCGGGAGACGCCGCTCTAGGCCGCAGCCCGCGCCCCAGGGCCATTTCCGCCGGCGACCGGCTGGTGGGGAGGTTTCTTGTGGCTGCAGCCGCCTTCCGGAGCGGTGCCGAACCGTCCGGAACCGTGCTGCACTTTCTCTCGTCGTTCCCTCTGGTCCCGTCGACTACAGTCCTGGTGCCCCGGGTGAGTCACTACGGGGCCGCGCAGCACAGCGTCAGCGCTGCATCCCCCTCTCCCAGACAGGAGAAACTGAGGCCCGAAGGGGCGGGGAGAGCCGGCGGAGGTCAGCCCGGAATCCGGGCTCCGCTCCTGGCTCCGTGTCCGGCCCCTCCACCGGGTGCGGACCTCTCGGGAGGCGGGTCCTCGAGAAAGGGGCCCCGGGTCCGATCCCCCGCCCTCAGCTCGCTCGCGGGAAGGACTCGGATCCCGCCCGGGCCCCCGCGATTTGCTCACACACACCCACCTCCGGACCCTGAGTCCCCCAGAACCACTCTTCGTTTGCCTCCGAAGTGACCTGAGGAGCGTGAACCCGTTTTGCCGTCACCCGTCGTTAACCGAGAGCGTGAAAACGCCGGTTGGGCGGAGCTGTTGTCTGAGCTTTCAGTTGGGGGCGCTCGCAGGGCCCCAGAGGGGTAGGTAGCATGTGATTGCTCCCTCCCTGCCTGGCACTAAAGCCCTTTCCCTGTTGTCTTGCGTGCCCAGGCCGTGCGGACTCTGCGGCTGTCTGGGAAGCAGATGGAGACTGTCCCTTGGACGGCTTTGCGGGCCGTGCGGCAGGCAGCACCCGCTTCTGTCCCACAGAACCCTGATCCGCCGCGCCTGAGGCCGCCCCTGTGTGCAGGGATGAGGCCTGCTAGGTAAGTGCTGCTGGGCCCGAGCCCCTTGACCAGAGGGTGGGTTGCCTTCCTGCCACAGCGCGGTGAGGGGGGAGGTGATCCTGGAGCACAGGTTCTGAGAGCCGCCTTCTTGCAAAGCGCTTGCGCAGAAGGGGGCCTGGTGTGGTAGGTGGGGTGGGTTTGGGGTCAGAGAGGTCTGGATTCAGGTCCTGGTTCAGCTGGTGGCCCACCGCATAACATTGGCTCAGGTCCTTCCTTGTCCTGAGCTTCAGTTTCTTTTTAGTGGGGAAACTGCCAGAGCTCTGGGAGGACAGAGGTCTCCTGTGTGTCCTTTGTATTTGAGCCCAGGATGGGTGGCACATAGTAGGAACTCAAGCTGTGTGTGTGGGGTGAATGAACACTGTAGGCGTTTTTCCCAGGAGCTGGTCTTCCCGTTGATGATGGGAGATGGAATCTTTACATAAAGGGCTGATGATGCTTGGGGTTGTGGACCTGGCGGCACCGCTTTCTCCTGCCTGGGAAGGTGGCAGGCTGCTAACATGGGCTGCTTGTGTCCTGGTCACTGATAGTGCAAGGAAGGGATTTCCTGAAAGTGTTTCCCCATGTTTGGAGGGCCCTTTCCTGTCCCTTCCAAACCTGGAGAGTTCTCACACTTCCTCTTTCCTACCACCTTTTAGATGCCTTCTGTCACCTGTGCCAATGTCGTGCTCGTGGATGGTGTAGGCAGAGGATTCAGGGAAGGTTGTCCTGTGTTTGGAGTGTGCACATCCTCACCTTCCAGGAGTTTGCCCACGTTCCAGCTTCTCCACAGACACCTTGGGCCTCCAGGGCCCAGGGGGGCAGTCATGGGCGCATTAGTGTCATTGTTGGGGCTTGACTTCTGTCCATGCTGTTAAGAACCAGTCTGTGCATGTTACTCGAGTTTTCCTCAATGTCCAGCAGGGTTGCTGCTGGGCAGCCAACACACACTCCCAAAAATCTGGCCTTGGCATCCTTTTCAGCCTGGTTAATGATGCATTCATCAGCATTGGCCACCTGTCACAGGCCATGCACTCTCTCCCTCTTTAGAGTAACCTCCACCCTTTTTACAAGGAAATAGTGTGATTGTTGGGGAAATAATAACAGCCAGCATTTGTTGAATGCTTACTTTACTCTCTGATAGCTACTGTGCTGAGTCCTTTCCTGATGCCTCCCATGCCCTGCTGTGAGCAGGGATAAGTTGGGTGCCCATTCCTGGATTTTTGTCTGTTGCAGGTGAGCCCACTGTGTGCAGAGGCATCATGGGAGTTCTCTCAGGAACATTCTAGACCCCAGTGTCCTTGAGATAAGATTTCTTGACTTTTCTCTAGAGTGTGGTTTCCTTGCATCTGGTACAGTCACATGTGGGTTCCTAGGGGCTTCGTGTGAGGTTATCGGGGAACTGAGAGGTGAGAAGGTAATGTCCGTGAGTCCCCAGATCTGTTCCTCAGTCCCAGACAACCTAGATCACATCTGGCCCTTGCTAAGTTCTCAGTGGCTGCTGCAGAGCCACTGAGGGTCTCCAGAGTCCCACTGGGTAATGAGAGTTCTCTGGGGTATCTGCCTTCCATCCTTGGAGTAATGGCAGAAGCATGTTTTAATGGGAAATGGGACCCACACATCAGATACTCTTGTCCCTGGCTTTGAATCTCCTTGTGCTGCTCTCTCAGTAACCTATTCAGAACCTTATTTTCTTTATTTAAGAAGCACACTTACAATAGAGGTGATTTCCATGCTGCTTAATACCACAGGATTCCTGTCATTTCCAACCCTTAAGATTTTCCCAGCGTTTTTGCTCAAAGTGACTTCTCTGATTCCACTTGGCAGGGAGGCTCTACTGGGCTTTTGTAAGAATGGCCGCTCCTGAGGTCCTGTGCTCGGCTGGGTGGTTTCCCCAGATTCAGTCTATTCCAAAGGCCAGTAGCATTTGCTGCTCTTCCTAGGTCTCTTTCTGCCCTTCATGTACCTGCATTCAAAAGCGATCATGGGCTGCCTGTGCTCTGGTCATTGATAATGCAGGGAGAGGAATTGTTGAAAGCGGCTTCCCGTGTTTGGAGGGTCCATCCCTGTCCCTTCCAAATGCTGATGCCTTCACACACTCCTGCTCCTCTCCAGCTAGTGCTCTCTGGTCTCAGGCATCGAGGGCTGCTGTGTGAGTCAGTGACGGGACACAAATTTGATGGCCCAAATGTGATGTGATGGGAAATAGGAAGGTATGGGGAGGTGGGGCAACACGAGGAGTTTGACCTTGGGGTGAGCACAAGCATCAGAGAGACAGATGTGCCAGGATGTAATGACAGTGGAGGGAGGCAGCAGTGGTGGCCTTCACTCCCAGCATGGGGGGTGGGGGTGGGGGCTCCGTGGGAGGAGCTGCTGAGCTTTAGCTCTCTGGCCAGCTCTTTGCCAATTGCTCTACCTGCTCTTGCCCTGAAAACGCCCGTTTTTTAAGACCGTGTTTATTTTGACTGTTCTCTGTGAGAATTGAGATTCATTTCTGAGCTGTGTTTGTGTGAAAAAAGCCGGTGTGAAATCAGCTCATGCCTGATTCATTGGGGCATTCTCATCGATAGCAGCTTAAAGATGAGACCACACTGGAACCCAGACGTCTGTTATGACCACCTGCTGCTCCGTGGCGTCCTTCTCACTCCAAGAGTGCTGCCTTGAATCTGGAGATTGTTGGAGGAAGCCAGAGGGGATGGAAGCACCAGCCCTTTCATGGTGAGCTGGGTCCCAGCTGCCCTGGGGGGACCTCCTCATGGTGAGTTAATGCCAAAGGGCTAAGTCAGCCTGTGTTTCTGATCTGGAAATTCCAGGCTGCTGTTCTTATTGGACTTTCTCCTTTAGATGATGTCGGGGTTGATCGTGGACGCTGGAGTGGCATGGTGAAGGAGGACGTTGCCGTGTGAAGCATTGCCAGACCTCCTTGCCCAGTTGCCTCAGCACAGCATGGAAGGCCTTTTCCGTCTGTGTAAGCAGGCCCCAGGGAAAGCCCTGGCACTCTGGAAGCTTGAGGTCCAGAGCTAGAGACTTTAGCTGGTTCTGCCACTCCCCCAGCAGCTGTCACCGAGCGCTGTTGACCAGGAAGACCAGTTCCCTTCCACCTGGGCCATGTTGTCCAGCAGCCTCCACGTCTCCCGCCTCCTCCCCCTGTAACTTTTTAGAACCAAGAGTTTTCTGCACAGTGCATCCTTGTCCTCTTACCCACCCAATAAATTTTGAAACTGCCCTGCTGCTTGTTTTTGTTGTTTTTCTTCTCTTTTGAAGCCCATACCTCCATGTGCCAGTAGGGTAGCTATAAAGAAGGTGGGTCATGAACAAACCTTCCATTTTTTCCTCACTGAGCTGTTCCGTTTAGTGCACTCCCGAGGCGCGCCTACCGCTAGGCGCTGGGATGTAGAATTTGGCCTAGGGGTTGAACAATCCCGAGTGCTTCTGGGGAGCTCAGGTTTGGGAGAAAAGGAAAACATTAGGAGTGTTGGCTGAAGGACATCTGGGCCCAGGCTTTGGAAAAGAATACTTTTTGACAGTGAGGAGGCAGGAGTGCCCTGAGTGCTGGCCCCGGGGCTCCCCCGGGGGATTTTGGGAGATGGTTCTGAGCAGGGGCAGGTGACGAGCAACACCTCTCCTTTGGAGAGCTCTGTGGCTGGGGTAGGCAAAGGCCTGGTGTCAGGATTTTTATTGCTGTTGCCACGAGGTAGATTTGGTCTCTGAGAGTCATGTTCAGTGTGCCTTGCAAACCTTGCATGGAAATTGAAATCACCTTGATGGGGCTGAGGTCAAAACCAGGTGGTGAGTCCTACCTTTGTGAGTTCAGCATCTTGACAGCCTCGGTCCACAGGAGGCATTCTTGGGGCTGAAGCGTCTACACTGCCCACCAGCTCCACCAGAGGCCCTTCTTTCTCCCTCTCCCCTCTCCTGAACTCCTACCCGAGGACCTGATGTCACCCACTCTCTCTCGAAGGTCCCCCACCTACTCCACAATCTGGGCCAGTGTCCTCCCACTGTGGCCCTGGTCCCCTCGTGAAAAATGAAAGTGTTTTCCCCAGCTTGGCCCAAGTTCCTTTCCAGTGAAGTTCACAGCTGGATGTTGCCTTGCTATTGTAGATGTCCTTTCTCTCACACTGACCAGCCCCTCCTTGCCAGGCACCTTCCCGCCAGCTTTGGGTAGCCCCGTGCCCTGCATTCCCTTCCCCTTTCTTCTGTTTATTTTCTCATGTTTTCTTAACTGCCTCCCTGCCCTGCACCTCAGTCCTGTGGCAATCCTGCTGCCGGTTGGTCCATGATCTGTAGGAGAGGGCAGCGACGAAGTGCTGGGGAAGAAAGGAGGAGGTGACATCGCCATGGTTGCTGAGATGGCCAAGGGAGGGGCATCTTGGGGCTGCAGAGGCGTGATCACTGACCGTGGCTTGGCCCAGCATCACCAAAATGTCCTTCCCAGTAAGCTGAACTGGTCAGGTTGTGGAGTGTCAGCCATCGCTGCCCTGTTCCTGCAGCCCCTTAGTAGAGTGGTGGGCCGGGGAGGTCAGAGAGGTCCTCGTGGCAGCAGCTGGCACACAGTCCACACTCAGAGCACAGCTCTCCTCAGTCAACAACTTGTTTGCTTTCAAATTGTGACCAATCCTTACCCCAGGCCCAGCCTCTTGGTCTGCCCTCCCCTGCCCTCTGCCCCCCTAGCCCCATCTGAGGGGCCCTAGTAGCATGGACATTCCATTCTCCAGGGAACCTGCGGGGCCCTCCTCACTGCCCATGGTCTGCGTATCCATCCTTACCTCACACACCACGCCCTGGGATCACCAAAGTCTGCAGCCATGCTACTACGGGAGGCTCCTGAACGTGCTCTCCTTTTCCTGGCCTCCCTGCTTGGCATGCGTCCCCCGTGTCAGAGGCTGGACTTGACTCAGCTTGTGTCACTTCTTTAAGGAAACCCTCCTTGGCTAAACCGCAGCCAGACTGGATTCCCTGCCCTTCCTTTCCTTCACACCCAGTGTCAGTCACGTGCAGTACCATTCCAGATACTGGTCAACGAAAGAAGGCAAAAGAACAAACCCCTGCCTTCATAGTACTTAACATTTTAGAGGACAGAGACCATAAATAAAGTACTAAAACGTGTAGCATGCTAGAGATGGGCTAAAAGGAAAAACAGGGAAAGGAGACAGGAAATCTGGGGCAAGAGGGGGAGTGGCGCTTGAAACTGAGCAGACAGGGAAGGCCTCACCTGGCAGGTATGACTGGAGTCAAGGGAGGGCCTCTCACCTCTGGGTGTTCATGGCAGCCTTGCTGCCTCCGTTACAGTGTAGATGGGGTGGTAGGAAGCTTTCCTCTGGGGTACCAGACCCAGGGAACTGGGGGCACAGAAGGCCGAAGAGGACATCGCCATGCTGCATCTGGTTATGAATGGCTGTCACATGGCGAGGGTGGGGACCCACTCAAGCTGGTACTGGCTGGTCAGTCTAGGCTGTGTGTGTCTTGAGGGTAGGCTCCGCCTCTGCCAGCCCTGCAGCCCCTCCCCATCCTCCACTGCAGCTCAGTGGATAGGAAAGCCCAGCCACCCAAGGGCAGCCCTATCCCATGACTTTGGTCTCGGACTAAGAGCAGGTTTTCCTCTCTGGGAGTTGTGATTGGTCACAGGAACAGAAACTGGAAGAGATGGAGGGATTGAGTCCCTTTAACCACAGGATCTCAATTACAGAGCACTGGCTCCTGTTGCAGGTGAGGGACCATTTCTAGAACTCTTCTGAAGGGAGGAGGATATTTCAGTTTCCAAACCACATCTGTGTTCTGCAAGGCCCAGGGTCCAGTTTGCCTGAATTTTTGTGAGATGTGGCCAAGTGACCAAAACTCCTGTCTTCCTTTTCTTTTCTTTTTTTTTTTTAAATGATTTTTTTTATTTATTTGTCAGAGAGAGAGAGAGAGCGCACAAGCAGGGGGAGCAGCAGGCAGAGGGAGAAGCAGGATTCCCACTGAGCAGAGAGCCCGATGCGGGGCTCATTCCCAGGACCCTGGGATCATGACCTGAGCCGAAGGCAGACGTTTAACTGACTGAGCCACCCAGGCGTCCCCTGTCTTCCTTTTTTTTTTTTTTTAATCAGAAACCTTACATTTACCACCACCGTGCCATTTGTTACAATCAGGATTCAAGTGAGCCTCTGCCACTAACAGCCTGACGGGTACAGTGAGTGACACATGCCAGGAGCTCGGTCAGCGTTCAAGGGTGAGGAAGGAGGCCAAGAGTGGTCTTGACCATGTGCACCAGGAATAGCTCCTGGAGGCCTCTCTGTCCCCGGGACTATAACTGCCATGTCACCAGGATACCTAACTACACCTGGGAAGCAGCCTAATGAGATCATTTAGGGCCTGTTGAATTCTCAGTGTCCCTGTGAGACTGTGGGGTTGGAGCATGTCCTTTTGCTTCCTTGGGCCTCAGTTTCTGGCTCCGTACTTTGACCATCAGCACCCGCCCCCCACAGCAAGGACGAAGTAAGTTGATGCACGTTCACTGCATAACACAGTGCCCACCTCCTGCTGTGCTCTCGCTAAACGTCAGCCATTTTTATTGGATGAGCATGTCTAGCTTGTTGATGGTTAACGTGGAGAACAAGTATATCATGATGACAGACTCATCCGTTAATGTGACACCACAAATACTTCCTTCTTTGCTAATTTGCAGATACCCCAGTAGGACTGGTGTTAATCATCGCCACCACTGATCAAACTTTGATTAAATGCCACACACCGTACTAAGGAAGCCTATAGATGTTATTACCTCATTCAATCTTCACAACAACCCAGTGAGGTAGATTTCATGATCTCCCATTTTATAAATGAGGAAACCAAGGCTCAGAGTAATGAAGGGACGTGTCTTATTTCTAATGAGTGGCTCAGCTGATTTTCCATCGCTTGGTATATTAAGTAGTGAAAAATGTTGCAGGCTGATTTCATAAATAGCATGAGCATATCAGGTTGTCAGATGCTTGTTTGTGCTGGAAAACCAGAAATTAGGGTCTGTTACTATTCTGTCCCATCTGCTTCACACTGCCTATTTTCCAGTCTTCTAAAATATTCTCCATCTAAGTCAACAGCTTTTAGCATTGAACTTGTGAACCTGACATGTACGGAGACAATAGGCATGTTTCAGCCAACACCAGAATTTCAACTGTTGATCTTTACTGTTGTTGCTTTTTGCATTAGAGACCTTACATTCGCCACCACTGTGCTGCTATTGTAGGAGAACAGAGAGCCAGAAGAATGAAGGTTTACTCTTCCGTTCAAAAATACTGCCAGGCACTACGCTAAGAATAGAGATACAGTGATGAAAAAGAAAGTTTCTGCCCTGAGGATCACACACAACTACTTAAGATAGTAAGTTTTATTAATCCACACCCCACATTTCTATGAACCGTCACTGTATTCTCAGTCTTGCTGTAAGCTGGGCGTGCAGCTCTGACAAAGGCAGAGGAGGGGGGCTCATTGAGTTATAGTCTAGAATAGCAATATCCCACAGAAATACAATGAAACCCACAAAGGTAATTTAAAGTTTCCCTAGTAGTCCCTTAAATAAAAAGAGGATGAAATGCAGTTTAATACTGTATTTTATTTAACCCAACATATCAGAAAATATTGTCATTTCAGTATATAACTAATATAAGAAATTACTAATGAGATATTTTACATGTTTTCCCAAACTAAGTCTTTGAAATCGGTTGCGTATTTTATGCTTATACATCTAAACCCACATCTGGGTTTCAATTAAGCACCTTTAGAATGTTCAGTTGCCACATACGGCTGGTGGCTACATTATTAGACAGCAAAGATCCAGGTGGTGAGAAGTTCAAGGCTAATTCCACGTAAGAAGAGTGTCCTGAGGATGCCTTCTCTACAGAAAGGTTGCTGCATTCTGTAGAGTCTTAAAGAAGCTTCTCTTGCCTAGGTCCCCCATTCTCTGGTACCCCACCTGGGTATCCTACATCCTGGCAGAGAAGGGCTGGGTATACATTCACTGTGCCTGATGGAATCCTCGCATCATGTTCAGAGCCTTCTGGAAGCAGGACACCAACTTCCGTAGTGCTTATCTAGTGCAAGCCCCACCTCCTGGAATTAAGCTTAGTGTGCCCAGAGTTTGTACATTCGGTCAGTCACTACTTGTTTATTGAGCACCTACTAAGTGTCTGCCTCTGGGGTAAGCAATGGGAACACACACCGGTGAATACAGGCCATTGTAAACTCACA